GAGAATCACTTTCCCTCTGTCTATTTTTACCGGTCCCCATCTTGAGTTGCCTGGTGATCTGGCCCGAGCTTCCCTCCACCCTCTTGGCCCCTCAAAGGCCAAGCCGGTTCTGAATGGCACAGAGTAACGGGGCCCACGGTGGACCAAGAGGTGGGCGGCCCGAGGGGAAACTGGGAACTTTGGAGCCCACACAGCTGGTGGCAAGGCTGGGCTGACCAAACTCCAGGAAGAGGAAAGAAGGGTGGCCATGGGGGCCTTGGGCGGGGAGGGGGGGCAGCTGGGGGCACAGCTGCTCCCACAAGTGGGCCGGAGGCTGCAGATAAATGCACATGACTCCTATTTACTTTTTGAGTTTTTAATTTTTTTAAAAAATTTATTTGAAAATCAGAGTTATAGAGAGAGAGAGGAGAGACAGAGAGAGAGAGAGAGAGATCTTCCATCTGTTGGTTCACTCCCCAAATGGCCACAATGGCCAGGGCTGGGCCGATCCGAAGCCAGGAGCCAGGAGCTTGTTCTGGGTCTCTTACATGGTGGCAGGGGGGGCCTTGGGTCATCAGTTGCTGCTTCCCAGGGTGCACTATCAGGGAGCTGGATCGGGAGCAGAGCAGCCGGGACTTGAACCAGCACCCGTATGGGATGCCAGCACTGCAGCTGGCGGCTTAACCCACGGTGCCATGGCACCCGCCCCATTAAATGATTTTCTATTTGAGACAGAGTGAGCTCTCAGCCACTGGTTTCTGCAAGGGCCAGGAACCCAATCCAAGCTTCCCACTAGGGACCCAGATGGCAAGACAAGGTGCATGGGGCGGAGCCAGTACCAGGCCTCCACACAGCCCTGCTCACCAAGCCCCCATCTGGGACCCCTGAAGACACCCTCAGGAACTCCCCAGCACTTCAGTGGATTAAATTAACTCTTGCACTTCCTGCACAGCCATGGCACCTTGCCCAGGGCCAGGCTTCTGCTGGCTCCAACTTGGGCCCTCCCCTGCCTGACCGGCCCCGAGAGCCCCCCACCCCCACCAGCCCATCTCACGGACGCCACTGGAGGGGCACAGGAAGCTCCAGGGGACACGCAGCCAGGGAGTCTGCACCCACTCCAGCCCGAGGTCCAGCAGCAGCCACGGCGGCACCGCAGGACGGGCTTGGGCTCTGGGGCTGCCTGCTCGCCTGTGCCTGCACTGGTGACCCTGCTTCCAAGTCAGAGCTGACCACAGGCCAGGCCCACTTCCCAGGGCAGCTCCCCGCCCCAGCCCCACCCCCCACATCACCCTGGCTCCACCCCTCCGAGGCCAGCAGCCCAACACGGGTGGGCAGTTTCTGAGGTTTTTCATTCTAGAACTACATTTGAGGAAATGGCGGGAAACCAAACAGCCATTTCTGGAACCTGCCACCACCCGCTGCGTCTTTGCCTCTTTTGCTGGACACTGGAAAGTCCAAGCTCAAGGTGCTGGTGCCCACAGACAGCTCGCTTCCTGTTCACGGGCCTGGGGGAGGTGCTGAGATCTCTTACAAATGGGCTCTGTCTTCAAAACCCACCCAGCCCCCACAGGCCCTCTTCTTAGCACCATCACCCACTGTGGGGGGTCAGGGTTTTGACGCAGGGGTCTTTGGGGGACACCCAGGCATTCAGACCACAGCAGAGGGTCAGCCAAGCGCTTCCGAGGAGCTGAGCACTGAGCAGGGACCTGCAGCCGACGCAAAGGCCCTGAGGCATGGGGCCCTGTGCAGAGCATGGGAGTGCTGGAAGGTGAGAGAGGCGAGACCGTGGCCAGGCCACCGTGGGCCTCGGAAGCCGTGGCTCTGAGTTTGGGTTCTACCCTGAGTGAGACCCGCTGACGGCGCCAGCCTCACCCCAGCTTTGCAACCTGTTCGGGTGGCTCCCAGCGCAGGGCTGCAGCGGTGCTCGCCCCAGCCCCTGCCCTGCGCTCCTGCCCCTGCCCCAGCGGGCGCTTCAGCCTCCCAGCGCAGCGCAGCTCCCCGTTCTGCGCCCGCCCGGGGCTCCCAGCCTCCCGCCGCTCACCTCACACACTGCAGGGTGGCGAGCTCGGAGGAGACTTCCTCCTCCTTCCGACCGACCGCTGGCATTGCTGGCTTCTCTGCACCGAGTCTGTCTTGCGTAGGAGATCACAAAGCTGTGCAAAATCAAACCTCCCCTCCCGACGGACCCGTGAAGTCCCGTCCCCTTGGCTGTCCCCCTCCGGGCTGGATTCGGGCCTGCAAGGCGGCCTCCCCTGGCACGGGGGTCAGGGACTGCGAGGAACCAGAGGTTTGAAAAAGCACACTCTGTGCTGTCATTGTATCTCCAGGAAATGAAACAAAGCAACAGGCTCTGAACGCTGACGTAAGCACGCGGCACCGGACGCGGCATCCGGGATTCGTTTGCTTGGCCACACCCTCTCCCCTCCTTTCTGGCCTTCCCTCCGCCACCACGAGGTCAGGGACCCCTGTCTGTCTGCGCCCCAGCACTGTTAGCTGTCACAAAACACACCAAGCACCGGAGTAAGGGAAAGGGCTTATTGGGGGACACCCAGCAGACCGGAGGGGAGGGGCGAAGAGGGAAAAGAGAGGAGAGAGGGAGTGAGAGAGAGAAGAGGAGCAGAGAGCAGAGAGAGAGGGAGTGGGCAAGAGAGCGAGGAGAGGAGAGAGAGACGAGAGAGCACCGTGGTCAGGCACAGGCCCTTTTAAAACTGCCCGAGGGCGGGCGGGGAAGCAGGAGCAGCGAATCCCATTAGGATGGGGGTGGAGCTTGACCACAGCGGTCCGGGCCATGTGGCCACCTGGCTGCCAGAAATGGTGGCCGGGCTAGGGCCTAGGATGTAAATCAGGGTGCAGATCGCGCCATAGATAAGACTGCGCCATTTTCCTAACAAGCACGTGCACCCGAGTGAGGCCGTGGGGGAGAGCGCCCGAGTGAGGCCGTGGGGGAGAGCGCCCGAGTGAGGCCGTGGGGGAGAGGCGGCTTTGCTGAGCGTCGCACCCCTTCCTGGATGCCCCCCAAGCCCCTTCAGCGGGCCCTGCCCTTGGGGTGGGTGCTCCCGGGCCCAGGGCCTGCTCCTCCACTGTTCCACCCACGGGACCCCATCTCCAAACCTAACAGAACCCGGCCAGAGCGCTGGCTGCCCCCAAGCCCGCACCAGCTCCAAGTTCTCCCTGCTCCCAGGGCATCCGCCAGGGGGCTTTCTGAAGCCGGAGTGTGCGGTGCCTACTGTGTGCCAGGCCCTACTCAGGTCCCCGGTCAGGACAGCTGCTGCAGGGAGCAGATCACATTAACTGCAGGCAGCTCAGTCTCCGGCCGCAGGTGGCCCCAGGAGGGCTCGGTCACCTCACCCGAGTGTCCCCACAGCCCACTCCTGCCCACTGTGGCTCTGGACTGGTAGACCAGGGCCCACTGGGGCCCACCCACCCGCACCCCCTTCCCCACACCTGCTGCCCGAGGTATCCAGCTGGGGTAGAGGCCCAGGCCTCCAGACCCTAGTTCGGGGCCCACCAGCCTCGTGAGCGCTGGAGCGGAGTCAGCAGACCTGGGGTTTGGGCGTCTGTTTAACAAACATGCTACTTAGATCCCACGAGTTCCAGAAAACACCTAGGACAGCGCGGGCGTCCTCTGGCTTCTGTGTCACCAGGCCTCACCCAGACACAGCCACACACACCTGGGCCACCCCTACGGTAAGGGGAGGTGTTCTTCAGGAAGCTCGCGGAGGGGCCGGTGATGTGGCGTAGCGGGTAAAGCTGCTGCCTGCAGTGCCGGCATCCCTTCTAGGTGCTGGTTTGAGTCCCGGCTGCTCCACTTCCAATCCAGCTCTCTACTATGGCCTGGGAAAGCAGCAGAAGATGGCCCAAGTCCTTGGGCCTCTGCACCCACATGGGAGACCAGGAAGAAGCTCCTGGCTCCTGGCTCCAGATCGGTGCAGCTCCGGCAGTTTCGGCCAACTCGGGAGTGAACCAGCGGATGGAAGACCTCTCTCTCTCTCTCTCTCTGCTTCTCCTTCTCTCTGTGTAACTCTGACTTTCAAATAAATAAATTAAAACAAAACGAAGTTCGTGGAAATGAAATCGGTACAATGAAAGGTAAGTTTATTTTGGTCTAAAAAGTTTTTAAAATAGTCTAGATTTTCCATAATATGCATTTCTCCAAGATCTTTAAGAAGATTTACTAATTTACTTGAAAGGCAGAGCATGGTGGGGGAGACCTGGAGCTCTTCCATCTCTCCAAATGGCTGCAATGGCCAGGGCTGGGCCAGCGGAGCCAGGAGCTCCCTCCGGGTCTCCCACCTTGGGGCAGAGGTCCACGCACCGGGGCCAGGCTCCGCAGCCTTCCCTGCCCCGCAGCGACCCCGCCCCCGTTCAGAAGCAGGGGCTCGGCGAACACCCTGGGAGGGCGGCGGCCCCGGCTCCGCCCGCGCGCCTGGGAATGCTGAAGCCCCAGCCTCGCCCTCGCCACGGCCCGCGGGGTCGCCTGCGGAGGCCGCGCGGACTCGGGTCCCGCCACGCTCCCGCGCCGCCGCTCACTGCGCCCTCGCCGGGCCGCCCCGCACCCTGCTCGCGGCCGTTGGGCCGCTCCGCCCGGGAACCCCACTCGCTCCACGCGGAAAGGCGCGGGGCTCCAGCCGACATAGAATTCCTTCCTCTGCACCCAGGGCGCCGCCGTAATCGCCCGGGCGCCCGCAGGGCCCCGCGCTTCTGCCCAGGCACCACAAACACTGCCCGAGGGCTTCCTCGCCGGCGCTGCTCCGACCTGCGGGCTCCAGAAGGTTCCAGCGACGCTCGTCCGTGGCTGAGAACGCCAAGGTCAGCGGCCCCGTCGGGATCCGAACTCGGGTCCCGGCTCCCGGGCTTGGCCGCGCAGGCGGCGCGGGCGGGCGCACCAAGCACACTCTTTGTCTGCGGCGCCTCCGCGGCCGCCGCCACATCCCCGCCCGCCGGGCGCGCGCAGCCAATAGGGCGCGGCGGCGGCGCGCAGGGCCGGGGCGTTGTCCGCGCCTCGCCCGCCCATTGGCTTCGCTCTGCGCACCCGGAGCCGGCCGGCCGGGCCCAGGGCGGGCGCGCAGCCCGAGGTGTGGGGCCGCAGGCGGCGGGCGCGGGGAGAGCCAGCCGGCTGGGTACGCACGGGCCCGGTACGCACACCCGCCGCCGCGCCCCGCGCCGCGTTTGCCCGTGCCTGCGCACCGGGAGGCGGCGGCCAGGCCGCGCCCGACACGACTGGCTGGGGTCCCGACGGCGACCGGCACGGCGAGGGGCTGTAGGAGCAGGAGGGCCGGGGGTCCGGCCATGGCGCTCGATTTCCTGGCTGGATGCGCCGGGGGTAAGGAGGCGGCCGGGGTGGGGGCCGCGCACCCGCGGGCGGGGTCCGCAGTCTGCGGGTCGACGTCGGGGCGGGGGTCCAGGCGCTCTGTGCGCGCGGCAGGTGCCTCCAGAGTCCCTGGGGCCGGCTCTGCGGCCGGGCCGAGCCAGGAGGGGCAGCCCTCCTCGATCCCCCCTCCACATCCTTCTCTTCGCCTGCAGCCGTCTGGGCGGGGCTGGGGCCACGGCTACCCACCAGTCACGCCTTGGCCCTGGGGTGTCTGGGGGGCGGCGGGGTGAGGCCGGGCGCTCCCCGGCTCGGCCTTTGGTTGGCCTGCCCGACAGGTTTTCGCTGGGAGCCCGGCTTAGCTACTCGGGACGGGGGCCCAGGCGACTCCTGTGGCGGGGGTCTGGCTCTCCAGGGTTCCCAGCCCCCGGGCGCGGCTCGCCGCGGCCTGAAGCGTGTCCTGCGGGTGGCAGGGTTTGAAAATCTGCAGCCTCTCGCTGGGCCGGAGTCTCTCGGGGCGCGGAGTGCCCGCGGGGCCGGAGGCATGGCCTCGGCGGCTCCCCGCTCCCTCCGGCCGACGCCCCCTTCCCAGCTGCCGGGGCGGGTGGACTCTCCTTTTTGCTTATGTGTGTCTGTGGAGTCCCACGTGGCTGTTCCTGGCGTTCCTGCATGGGATGCACGCCGAAGAGGCCCTTAGGCGGTGCTGACGGTACCTCCTGCTGGGGTAGTGCAGATGGGTGAGCCGCAGTCAGGGTGATTACATTCCTGCATGTCTGCAGCCTGCCTGCCCCCTGGTAGGCTTTTGTGGGCCGGGGTCCCCCACTGTGCTGCAGGTGCCCTTTATCCAGCCTCCCTCTGTCCCCGCCCCCCACCCCTTCCCCACCACTGCTGGTCACTGAGTTCAGGGCAACTTTTTTTTTTTTTTTTAAGTTTTATTTATCTATTTGAAAGTCAGAGTTACAGGAAGGAAGAGACAGAGAGATCTTCCATCTGCTGGTTCACCCCCCATATGGCTGCCATGGTCAGGGCTGGGCCAGGCGGAAGCCAGGAGCTTCATCCGGGTCCCCCACGTGGGTGGCAGGTGTCCAAGCACGTGGGCCATCTTCCGCTGCTTTTCCCAGGCCATTAGTAGAGAGCTGGCTTGGAAGTGGAGCTGCCGGGATTTGAACTGGTGCTCATATGGGATGTGGGCATTGCAGGCCATGGCTTTACCCGTTAGGCCACAGCACTGGCCCTTGACTTTTGGTATCTGACTTAGCCTAATGTCCTCCAGTTCTAGCCATTTTCCTGCAAATGGTAGGATATAATTCTGTTGTTTGGCTGAATAATGAACACCTTCATCCATGTACCCATTGGTGGGCACTGAGATTGATTCCAATTGAAAGATTCCTTTAAAAACTGGAAATGGGTTTTCCACGCCGTGCAGCATGTCTCCATGGATCCCGCTTCCAGGCCCTTAGATCCAAAGGAAAGGAGCCCACATGGTGGAGGTCCCCACGGCCCTGCGCACGGCTGCGTGCTCACCACAGCCAAGGCGGCCACAGGCCCGAGCTTGCAGGGGGATCAGCCCCCAGAGACCCCAGGTGCTGGTGTCCACCGACTCCTTGCTCATGCAGGACCCACCTGCGACACCCCGTCCGCACCAGGACGTCCTGGCCTGTGCGCAGGCCACCGTCTGGATCCTGGCCAGGTCCTGTCCCAGCCGCTGCGACTTTTAGGTGGATGAGGATGAGAATGGAAGTCCGCTGAGGACCCGCTCCCGGTCTGATGCGACCAGGAGGAAACAAGACGCAGAGGTGTGGAGGGTCTAGGACTAAATCCCACTGCACGGCCACGCACCCCACAGGAAGCCAAGCTGGGGGGAGAAGGCAGGCGGTTACTAAAGACCCAAGGAATCCGGATGCAGCCTGAGAAGAGAGGTCCTAGAGCTAAGTATAAGGTGTCCAGTGCGCAACAAATCTTCCCAGGCAGACGAATCAATTAATTCACAGGCTTTATTGGGGTTCCGCTCCCGGGCGAGGTTCCCCAGTCCCAACAGAGCAACAGAGCGGGGGCCGGGGTAGTCACCTGTCAGAGATTGGGAGGGCTCCTTTTATAGATTCAGGGCATGGGGGTTAAAGGTTGAGGCGGGTCTGATCCTCATTGGTTGACCTTTAGGCACCCGCAGGGACCTTGACAAGGACTTTCTTCCCCGGAAGTAGACCTCTCCATTCCCGGAAGTGTAGGCCTTCCCTCCTTGCGGATCCCAAAGCTACCACTAAGGTTTTCAAGTTGCGAAGACGATGGTGATCTCAACGGGAAGAAACCCAGACGGCCAAAACCCCAGGTGGAAGACAGGCAGGGGAAGACGGGTCAACGGCTGTCATTTCAGCAACCTGTGACTGTTGGGCACTCCAGAGAGACGGGAGGAAGCGGGACGATGAGTGGGATGAATAAGGGACAGGGACGTCTTCCCTGGCCGCAGAGGGCGGGATTCTGCAGACTGAAGGGGCTGCTGGGGTGCCCCCTCCCATCCCGCTCCCAGCCCCTGCACTTCCTGCCTGGCTGCGGTGAGTAGTCCCAGGGTGCTTCCTCCTGCCTGGCCTCTGAGTGACATCAGAAAGCCTAGAGACCCCAGAGGGGAGTAGAGGGGGAAGCCGTGACCTCCAGGTCTCCAAGGGTTCATGGTTGAATGTCAGTGGCAGGTGTTACAAGGATTGACGTGTCAGCAACAGCAAGGACCCTCCGCTGAACTTGCCAATAGAAAGCAGGTGGGATAAACAGTAATTTGCCTGGAAGGGCTAAAATTTGGGAAGGAAAGGAGAGATGTAAATCATTCATATGGAATGAAAAGGGGAGAAAACGAGCTCTCTAAAAAGGAAAAATAGGGCCGGTGCCGTGGCTTAATAGGCTAATCCTCCGCCTACGGCGCCAGCACACCGGGTTCTAGTCCCGGTCGGGGCGGGCGCCGGGTTCTGTCCTGGTTACTCCTCTTCCAGTCCAGCTCTTTGCTGTGGCCCGGGTGTGCAGTGGAGGATGGCCCACGTGCTTGGGCCCTGCACCCCATGGGAGACCAGGAGAAGCATCTGGCTCCTGGCTTCGGATCAGCGCGGTGCGCCGGCTGCAGTGCACCAGCTGCAATGGCCACTGTGGGGTGAACCAAGGGAAAAGGAAGACCTTTCTTTCTGTCTCTCTCTCTCACTGTCCACTCTGCCTGTCCAAAATGGAAAAATAGGATGGGGAAATGGAGGCCAGCATCGAGGTGCCCTGGGTCAAGTTGCCGTGGGCAACACTGGCATCCCGTACTGGAGTGCCGATTAGAGACCTGGCTGCACTGCTTCCTAGCCAGCGCCCTGCTAATGTGCCTAGGACGGCAGTGGGTCCTTGCCACCCACGTGGAGTTCCTGGCACCTGGCTTCAGCCTGGCCCAGACCTGGCTGTTGAAGCCGTTTGAGGGGTAAAGCTGTGGATGGATGGAAGAGCCCTGTCTCTGCCTCGCTCTCTCTGCCTGTCACATGAAGTCATCAATCTTGAGGGGTGGGGTGGCTAAATGTCAGATCTTGGTTGTTTCTGTGAAATCTGACACTGCTTCAGTCCGGGCAGAAAAGCCAGCTGTGGTTGTTTTCAGGAAACATCTAAAACATAATAGGACAGTCTCCAAACAAAGCACGAGATGGACAAAACTAGAGCACGCGCCTGTGACCAGAGAGAAAGGACAAATGGCAAAGTCAATGTCAGAATCGGTGTCTTCAGAATTTATTTTTGCTGCTTTTCCTGGCTTATGAGCAGGGAACTGGCCGGGAAGAGGAGCAGCTGGGCCTTGTCACTGCTCTAAGTGCTGGTGTCGCAGGTTTAACCCCGTGGCCCACTTACTCATGATTCGACAGAGAGCAGGATCCCTGCGGTGCCAAGCTGGGTGGGGACGAAGCCAGGAGCCTGGAACTCACCCGGGTCTCCCATGCGGGCGGCAGGAACTGCAGTAGCAGCAGGCTGCAGTCAGGGGCCAGGGCAGATGTCCCGGATGTGGGACAAGGGCCACCTCAGCCAGCATCCTCACGCCTGGTTCTCAGAGTAGGTTTTAAGGTGCAAAGCATTATGGGAAGGCAGTTAGCAGTAGCCACCGTCAACCCTTGGGCATCAGCTGAGTGGTGCGGGAGCGGACTCTGAGGCCATCACTCATCAGCCACGCGTGTGAACATACGCCTTCTCTGCTTTGCTTCCCTCGTCTGTGAAATGGGTTTGTAGGCCCCCAACAGACATACAAGTGGGAGACTTGGTGTGTGTGCAACACTGAGAACAGTACCCCGCAGGTATGTACTTTTTTTTTTTTTGACAGGCAGAGTGGACAGTGAGAGAGAGACAGAGAGAAAGGTCTTCCTTTGCCGTTGGTTCACCCTCCAATGGCCGCTGCGGCCTGCGCACTGCGGCCGGCGCACTGCGCAGGTCCGATGGCAGGAGCCAAGTACTTATCCTGGTCTCCCATGGGGTGCAGGGCCCAAGTACTTGGGCCATCCTCCACTGCACTCCTGGTATGTACTGTTAACTGTCTTGTGTAGGAAATTATAAAGCTGCGCAAAATAAAACCTCCCCTCCTGATGGACAGGCCGGCCCCCGCCCTGTGACAGTCCCTCCTTCTTGGCTGCCCCTTCTGGGCTGGATAGGGACCTGCAAGGTGGCCTCCCCTGGCACGGGGGTCAGGGGACTCTAGAAATGTCAGGGACCGGCGCTGTGGCGCAGCGGGGAAAGCTGCTGCCTGGGATGCCAGCATCCCGTATGGGCGCCCGTTCCAGTCCCGGCTGCTCCACTTCCTATCCGGCTCCCTGCCAGTGGCCTGGGAAGGCAGTGGAGGATGGCCCGAGTGTTTGGGCCCTGCACCCACATGGGAGACCCGGATGAAACTTCTGGCTCCTGGCTCCGGCTTGGCTGTTGCAGCCATCTGGGGAGTGAACCAGTAGATTGAAAACCTCTCTCTCTGCAACTCTGCCTTTCAAATAAATCTTAAAAAAAAAAAAAAAGTTAGCTGTTTAAATTACCCGTAGATACCACCAGCCTTGACAGTGAACTTCAACAGAGGGGCAGAGAGCAGATGGAGACCTTTGCAGGGAGGGGAGTGAGGTTCAGAGACGGGGTGCGTGATGAGGGGCAGCGGGAAGGGTCCAGTCTGAGGGTCTGACCCCGAGGCCGACGCCAGGAGGTGTGTGGAGCAGGGGGACATGGCAGAAGGGGTGTGAGCAGGCCCCTAGGGGGCGGGGTCTCTGAGCAGCAGCGGAGACAGAGGGGCCCAGCTTTGAGTTGGACAGATGCCGGCTTGACCTGGGGACTCCCACTCTCCCCCCGCCCCCACACCTCACTGGACGTGAAGGCTGCAGGAGGGCATGGGGTATGCCCAGGGCCCAAGGGCAGCCTGGTCAGTGTCCTCCGCTGCCACGTGGCTCTGTGGCCTCCGATGCCATGTGGCTGCGTGGCTCCGGCTCACGGGGGCCCCTTTCCTCCTGCAGGTGTGGCAGGCGTGCTTGTGGGACACCCGTTTGACACGGTCAAGGTGAGTCTCTGCTCCCTGCTTCAGCCTCTGCCACCAGGGCGCAGCCTGCAGGGTGGGGGCGGCCGCAGGCCCCTTTCCCGCGTCCTCAGTTTCTGAAGGAAGGTGGAAGGGGGGCTCTCCAGGGTGCTTGGGGGCCGGAACCTGCCCTGAGCCTTTGTCCTCCCCCCTCCCAGCACTGGGTTCATGGCCACGTGCACTCTTGGGCCCACCACTGCCCCAAACGCTTCCTTGAAAGAGCGGTCGAGAGAGGAAAGCTACAAGCGTGTCGGGCTTTGCCACTGACGTGAACGTCCCAGAGCCGTGACGAGCGCCGCGCTGCACCTGGTGGCGGCCCTGGCTCCAGCCGGTGCTGTGGGCCTGCGCTCCCTCCGCCGCCGCAGGACAGAAAGCAGGAAAGCTGTCCTCCAGCCGCGGCTTCCCAGGTCCTGGCTGGGTCTTATGCTCCTCACTCGGCCAGGGCTTTCCTTGCCGCTTTGCCTGCGAGCGGCCGGGCGGGCGGCCAGGCCCTGCGCTTGGCACCTTCCCGTGGGGTGAGGGCGGAGCTGGAGGCGAGACACGTCCTCTGGGGCTGGGCATCCTGCCTGCCCACTGTTTCTCAGTGAACCCAGGTGTTTGCTGGCCTCGTTCACCGCGGGCTGGGCTTTCCTGCAGTGCAGGCATGAGGCCTGGCCTTAAGCTCTGGCTCTGACCTTAAAACATTCTGCCTGGGCCTCGAGCAGGTCCTGCTCCAGCTGGTTGGCCACCTGACCTTGGCCCGTGACTGTACCTCTGGGCCCAGGTGTTCTGCAAAGCTGGAGTGGGGTGAGATCCCCAGGGGCGCCCCCCCCCCCCCCACCGCGCTGTGCTGTGCTGAGCAGTACCAGGTGCTTTACAAAGTTTGTGAGAGATGGGATTAAAAGACAGTTTAATTTTGTTGCAGAAACATTGAATTCCATGCATAGTTTTCTCAGAATACACATTATTCATGATCTTTTTGAAGGCCCGTGTGTACCTGGATTTCAAAAGATTTTTTTTTGCACCAAAATAAGCCTCCCCGTTAATTCCATTTTCGTGACTTGTTTGTAGCATGTTCTGTGTTGGACTAAATGCCAGCTCTGAGAAGCACCCCGTGGGGAACAGGCTTTCTTGGGAAGCAGGGATGAGTTCCCCACGTGGGCCTGCCACGCGCGAGGCTCTGGCCAGGCCACCCTGTGAAGCTGCCCACGATGGCCTGCCAGCGCCCACCCACACTGCACTTCTGTCTTGAGGCTGTGTCCCGCCAGGTACCTGGGCTTGGCGGAGGCCGGGCCTGTCCGAGCCTGCTGCGGGCTCGCAAGCCCCTTGGTCAGGCCCATGAGCCAGGTGCACTTCCCACCCCTCTGGGTACGAGCCCCCGAACTCCACCTCCCTGGCACCTCTGGGAAGGCCACCAGGATGGCATGTGGGCGGCCCGTCCTGCTGTGCGGTGCCCCCCACGGGCTTCAGCAGGAGCCTGTCCCCAGCAGCGCTGGTGTTCTGCTGGCCACTGGCTGTTGTCACGGTCGAACATTCCCGGGAAGAGGAAACTGGGAAATGTGGAAAAGCCAGCGATCTCCTCGCCCCAGACAGCTCAGCCGTCCCACTTTGTGCCCTGCCTCCTGCACCCACCCGCACAGCGCGTGCCAGGCATGGGAAGTTCAGAATGCCACCATTCAGAATGGGTGGGCCTTAGGTCTGTGCACAGCTGGGGGCTGGCTTTCTATAATAAAAGTAGTACAGGGTTTTTGTTTGTTTTTTAAATCTTGGCCTTGTGACCGAGGTGCATAAACTGGTCTGCAAAGCCAGTGGCTTGTGCATCCCTCCTCCGACCCCTGTGCAGGATTCCACTGCCAGACAGCCCCCGCTCCCCGACTCCCAGCCCCCGCTCCCCGACTCCCAGCCCCCGCTCCCCGACTCCCAGCCCCTGCTCCCTGACTCCCAGCCCGCACTGCCCCAGCTTCCCTCTCCGGGGGTCGCCTTGCTCACTTGCGCCCTTCACACAGTTGGAGCTGTCCTGTGCAATACGTTAGGGACACCCGTGTACAGTGCCGTCCATGGCTCTCACATCTGCACTTGGTCCCTCTGGGCCGTGGAGCACGCAGGAATCCCCGGTCTGGGTCCCCCCACCACGGTCCCTGGGCTCGGCTGCCTTCCCTGTTTCTGGCTGAAGGTAGCTCTCTGTCTTGCTCCACCGGGCCTGTGGTAATCTGTGCTTCGCCGCCCCTGGGCAGGGGAGGGGACAGGGCGGCGGGGGGCTGGCGGCGGGGCTCAGCACCTGGAAGTGATGTTGCCATTTTGTGCTGCTTTAACCGCCTTTACTTTCTGAGCTAGGGGCTGCCTCCATGCATAGCCAAAGTGTAACTTTGTTGTAGATGAGCGTAAGCCTCTGCCGGGAGAGCACTAGTAAGTACAGACCAGGTGAACCTCCGTCCTCGGCTCCTGCCCGCCCAGACCCCGCCCTGCCGCAGCCACAGGTCCTGCTGGAGAAACTCGGCCCCACCCCCCGGCCCCCGCCCTGTGGGGGCTCCAAGCCTCCTGGGCTCATGTGCAAGTGACGGTTTTGCTGGGGTGGACCCAGCCTCGGCACGAGTCCCTGGAGAAGACCTTGTCGCCCCGAACACTGAGAACCTCAGATCCAGGCGGCGTGGGACTGGAGCCACTCGGCCACGTGTCACACATGGACTGCTGGGCAGCGAGGGCCCCTCACGGACCTGAGGGGCGGACAGAGTGGGCATGGGCCTCTGGCCGCTCCGGCTGAGGGGCTGAGTTGACCTGACCTGCAGAGCCCAAGGGACGCCACCGGGCGCCAGCGGAAGCCCCACCTACTTCTGCCAGCACAGCCCTCTCGGCGCCAGGGTCGGGGGCCGCGGGAGGACCTGACCCCCCCAGAACGCTGAAGGGAGGGAGAGAGACCTCACGTCACAGAAACGGCACCTGAGCCAGAGCGCGTGGTGTCAGATGTTCAACACCCCCTCCTGCTGGGTCCTGGCAGGGGCGGGGCAGCGGGTGCCGCGGTGCCCTGAGTGGAGGTCCCGGTGTGCAGATGGCGCTTTTTCCCAATGAGTCTTTTTTTTTTTTTTTTTAAAGATTTATTTATTTATTTGAAAGAGTTATACAGAGAGAGAGGCGAGGCAGAGAGAGAGAGAGAGAGAGAGGTCTTCCATCTGATGGTTTGCTCCCCAGATGGCCGCAACGGCCGGAGCTGCGCTGATCCGAAGCCAGGAGCCAGGAGCTTCCTCCAGGTCTCCCATGTGGGTTTCAGGGGCCCAACGACTTGGGCCATCCTCTATTGCTTTCCCAGGCCATCGCAGAGGGCTGGATCGGAAGAGGGGCAGCCAGGACTAGAACTGGTGCCCATATGGGATGCCGGCGCTTCAGGCCAGGGCATTAACCTGCTGCGCCACAGCGCTGCCCCCCCCCCCCTTTTTTTTTCTTGTAAGTGCACTTTCCAGCAGAGGGTCCACCTGTCCTGGTGGAGGGACTTGGCAGAGGCTCCCACTCCCAGGCCGAAGAAGCCCCCGTTCCCTGTCAGGGTGCTCCCTGGCCAGCACGACCACTTGTGTCCATGGAGACTCCGGGCAGCTGAGGCCACCCTGCAGAATGTCACCAGCCTCCTTGGAATGGCACCCACCTGGGCGGGTGATTCCGATGCCCGGAAGAGATGAATACGGAGACCCCCGCTCCCTGCCTGTGCTGCCCACACTCCGTGGCCCTGGCTGTAATAGTGGGAGGGCAGCTCCTGGGGGTGTGACTTGACCGAGTTTAACCCCGCGAGGCAGATTCCCAGTTCAGGCCCTGTCCCTCCTGCCCTGCGTCCCAAGGGCAGAGATAAGCTCCTGGTTGACAGCGCCTTGACGTGCCTGAGGATCCGGGCAGCTGCACCTGCCGTGGGGGCCCCCAGGAGTGGGAGAGTTAGGACTACCCCTCCTCCTGTAAGGGGCCACTGGGCAGAAGTCAGCGAGTCCCATGGAGCCGAGGCTAGAGGCCTGTGACACCTGGCACCTGGTGTGGACAGTGATGGGACGTTAGCTCAGGAGCCCCCTCTGGCCCCAGCCCTGGTTTGGGACGCCGGCCACTCGGCAGGATGACAGGTGTCCCTTGCACAGCCAGTTGGTTCTGGGAGGTAGTTTGTGTCCCTGGAGTGCAGTGTGCAGTGAAGGTAGAAATGGGAGGCTTTGCCTCAACCACCTGAGATTTTGGGGACCCCTGTCTACAGCTGGTTGTCCCTGCAGCTGTTTGCCCACAAGCACCCCTCCCTGAAGAGGCCTGGACTCCTGGCCCTGCCCCACCCCGAAATTCCAAGAGCCACAGGAAGCTGCAGGCTCCCTTCCTGATGCAGCCTGCCTCAGGCCTCCCCCAGGGCAGGGGAGTGGGTGTTCTGGCTCTGGGCTCCCCCGCCTCTCACTGGGCCCCACCCTTGCAGGTGCGGCTGCAGGTGCAGAGCACGGAGAAGCCCCGGTACCGCGGGACCCTGCACTGCTTCCAGACCATCGTCAAGCAGGAGAGCGTGAGTGGCTGGGCGGTCAGGTGCCCCACCCCCACCCCAGGCCACAGAGCTGGGAAAGCAGCTGTCGGGGTGATGGTTGGGGACCGGAATGCCAGGGCCTCACATGGTGGCCTGTGGTTTGGTTCTTGGGAGCCCCTGGGCGGATTGGGGTTGCCCCCGCCCCCCACCCCCACCCGGTCAGCGCTGATGGCCCCTCTCTCTGCCCCGTAGGTGCTGGGCCTGTACAAGGGCCTGGGCTCGCCCCTCATGGGGCTCACCTTCATCAACGCGCTTGTGTTCGGCGTGCAGGGCAACACGCTGCGGGCGCTGGGCCAAGACACACCGCTGAACCAGTTCCTGGCCGGCGCGGCGGCGGGCGCCATCCAGTGCGTCATCTGCTGCCCGATGGAGCTGGCCAAGACGCGGCTGCAGCTGCAGGGCGCGGGCCCAGCCCGCACCTACAAGGGCTCCCTGGACTGCCTGGCGCAGATCTACCGGCGTGAGGGCCTGCGCGGCGTCAACCGAGGCATGGCGTCCACGCTGCTGCGCGAGACGCCCAGCTTCGGCGTCTACTTCCTCGCGTACGACGTCCTCACACGCGCGCTCGGCTGCGAGCCTGGCGAGTCCCTGCTGGTGCCCAAGCTGCTGCTGGCGGGCGGCGTGTCGGGTATGGCGTCCTGGCTCTCCACCTACCCCGTGGACGTGGTCAAGTCGCGGCTGCAGGCCGATGGGGTGCGGGGCGCCCCGCGCTACCATGGCATGCTGGACTGCGCGCGCCAGAGCTACCAGGCCGAGGGCTGGCGTGTGTTTACGCGGGGCCTGGCCTCCACGCTGCTGCGCGCCTTCCCCGTCAACGCCGCCACCTTCGCCACTGTCACCGTGGTGCTCAGCTATGTGCGCGGCCCCGAGGCCACCCCCGCGGGGCCGGCACTGGCCCAGCCCTCCAGCCTGTGAAGCGCCCAGCCTCGGTCCGCATCGCACCGGGCTGGGCTGTGCTGGGGACGTCACTAGGATGGACACGACGTCAGGGATATGCCTGTGCGGTGCCCTGGCCTGGGACTGGTACTAGAGGTCCGCTGGAGACCCAGCCAAGCGCACCGGCCTGCAGGCTGGCTCCACCAGCTGCGATGTCCTGCTGCGGGCTTCCCGGGCATTCGGAACTCCCCGTCTCTTCCCCAGCCCCACAGACACCTCTGGGCTCTGCTGGGGACAGAGGGCAGCCTGGAGAGCCTCCTGGTGTGCCTCTTCTACCTGTGTGTCTCAGCCCCTGGCTTGCCCGTGGCCTGGGCCTCACCAGGAAGTCACTGCTAGGTTGTTCGGCTGTGGCACAGGCAAGCCCCTGCACCTCTGGACCTCAGACTGCCTTTCTGTGAAATGGGGACATGAGTCAGCTGGGGTCTGGGTCGCTGGCCCAGGAGCCAGCCAGTGCTCCCCAAGGTCCACAGAGGGCCCAGTAGGGAATGGTGTGGGCTGGAACTAAGGCCAGACACGCCGACGGTCCGTTCCTCCTGTGGCCAGCAGATGGTGTCTCCCAGGCAGCGAGGGGCTGATGGTGGGCACAGGTGTGGCCGGTTGGGACCCCTCCAGGCCGGGGAGTGCCATAAGCTCTGTGCCCAGCTCTGGCCTGGCCACCGTACAGGAACCTTGGAAGAAATAAAGGACCCTGGATTTTTAAGAGGCTGAGGCTTGTCAATGGGAGAAAGGGTTTGCTCCTCACCCTGGAGGCAGTGGCGTGTAAGCCCTTGGGCCCACGGGCTTGGGGCTGGGTTCTGGATACATCCAGTGCCTTGGTTGTCTCGCCTGCAGGTGGGCTGATGGAGGTCTGAGTGTGAAGCAAGGTGTCCAGCAGTGCCCCTGAGAGGCCTCCATCCTGATGGGGACCCTGCAGGGCTGGGAAGCCGCCTCCTGCAGTCTGAATGACTGCTGCCCTGTGTAGGTCAGTGAGGCCTATCTGGAGGAGGCCAAAGGGGGTTCCGCGGCACACCCCACCCCCAGGCCTGTTCAGTCTCCGGGAGTCAGCCCTGGAGCGGCTGTCCTTCCCACCCACCAGCAGGGGCAGGGAGGGATCGAGACTGGAGTCACTGTGCTTCCTGGAGGGCTCCTCGCTCCTCCTCCCCTGCGCCCATTCCTGTCCCCGCCCAGCATGTCTGCAGTTTCCAGAGGGAGAGAAAGGGGCTGCCTGGTGGCCCAGGGGTCCCCCTAGCCTCTCTCACTTCTCTGAAAGAAACTAGGAAGGGTGGAGGCTGGCGTTTGGTGTAGGGGTTAATGTGCTGCCTGGACCCCTGCATCCTGTATCAGAGTGCCTGGGTTGGAATCCCAAGCCCCACTTGAGTCCAGCTTCTTGCCAATATGTATCCTGGGAGGCAGCAGGTGACACCCACATGGAGGTCCTGGCTTTGGCCTGGCCCAGCTCTGGCTATTTCAGGTATCCAGGGAGTGAACCAGCAAATGGAAGATCTTTGTGTGTTTGTCCTTGAAATAAACAAGAATTGGAGGGGCCAGCATTGTGGCACGTGCGTTAAGCCGCTGTATCCCATATCCGAGTGCTGGTTCGATTCCTGGGAAGGCAGTGGATGGTGGCCCACGTGTTTGGGTGCCTGCCTCCCACATGGGAGGTCTAGATGGAGTTCCTGGCTCCGGGTTTCTGGCTTGCAGCCATGCGGGGCAGTGAACCAGCAGATGGAAGACCTCTCTCTCTCCCTCTCCTTGTCAATTAAAATAATGACAACAAACCCACCATGGAGCACAGGGCTCCCCTGTGCCGGGGTGGGGGACTGTGGCTGTCACAGAGCCCTCAACGTCCCCATCACCAGTCACCCTGGTCTCTCCAGTGAAGCCCCAACGTAACCCCAGAACTTGATTTGAGCAAAGATGTGTGTGGAGCCTCGCTCCCGCTAGGGCTGCTCCAGGTGACCTGGCGGGACAGCAGGCGGGACAGCCAGCACAGAGTGAGGTCACAGAGCAGCGGGGTGCTCAGCACTGCCCAGCTGGGGCCCAACGTGGGCACCTCGAAACTGGCCACGGTGGAGCCAGATGACAGAGGTCGGGAACAGAGTCCCCACCCCTCCCTGCGAGCTGACCATTAAACGCTGAGAACAGGTGGGGGCGCTGACAGTTTTGATAGATTTAGTCCACACTTCTTAGATTTGAACTTACTGGATTAGGAGTAAAACACACAGAGGCAGTGGACAACACGGAGGTAAACAGGCCCCAGGCTGTGCCGTGAGCCTTCCCCCAGCCGCCAGGTGTGGCCTGGGTGACGGCCTGCTGTTCCTGGTTCCCCTCACTTGACGCGATCCTGGAGACGGTGGTGGCCTCCAGGGCTCCAGAGACCCAGCTTTGCAGGACAGCCTCCTTCCCAGCCCAAGTTCCAGCTCCTGGTGCTGCCAAGCAGGCCTTAGACAGGGAGCCGGATTGGAAGTGCAGCAGTGGGGACTTGAGCCAGCGCCCTTGTGGGAGGCGTGTCCAGGTGGCAGCTTTACCTGCTAGGCCACAGTGCCGACCCCACTGCTGCTGTCTTTACACAGCCTGCTCCTGAGTGCCAGGGCTCCATGCTCCTCCCTTATTCATCTATTTCTGAAAGGCAGAGACATCTTCCACCTGCGGGCTTATTCCCCAGATGGCCACAACAGCCAGGTCTGGGCAAGGCTGAAGCCAGGGCCCAGAACACCACCCAGGTCTCCCTGGTGCATTGGGTCATCCTCTGCTGCCTTCCCGGGGACACAGCAAGGAGCTGGGTCAGAGTCAAGCAGCCGGGACTGGAACTGGCGCTCTGACACGGGATGCTGGTATCAACCTGTCGAGCCATGACCCGGCCCCCACCTGCCTGCTTGCCTTTATTTAATTGATTTGATATTTATTTATTTATTTGAAAGGCAGAGTTACAGAAAGAGAGGGAGAGGCAGAGAGAGAGAGAGAGAGAGAGAGAGAGAGAGAGAGGAGAGAGGAGAGGAGAGATCTTCCATTCACTGGTTCACCTCCAGATGGCCGAAATGACCAGGGCTGCGCCAGGCCGAAGCCAGCAGCCAGAAGCTTCTTCCACATTTTCCATGTAGGTGGCAGGGGCCGAAGCACTTGGGCCATCTTCCACTGCTTTCCCTGGGCAAGTTAACAGGAAACTGGATTGGAAGTGGAATAGCTGAGACTCGAACCAGCGCCCATACGGGATGCTGGCGTTGCAAGCAGCATCTTAACCCACTGCACCACAGTGCCCGCCCCGACTTTCTGGGATTCAGTGTCTCGATTAAAGTGGCTTCCCAGACTGCCTTGCAGCTAGAGGCAGCCAGTGCGCATCCCAGACCTGGTCAGTCAAATGAACACAGATGTCCGAGGCTAGGGCTTGGGGAAGCTTTGTGAACGGACACTTGCACCTGTGGCCCATCCCCTGGCCCTGCTCTCTTCCCACTGAAATGGGGACAGGATGCCCGGAGTAGCAGCGGAAGACGCCGTGGCCTTGGGGGCCGCTGGCCAGGCCTCATGGCAGAGCGCGGCTCCTTGGCTGCTGTCCCGTGTGGCCCCAGCAGCGAGGGCAGCAATGGGTGGGACCTGACTCACGGCCTGAACACCCCCCGGGGAGTTAGAAGGCAGGTGGGCTGCAGAGGCCAGGGAGGGTCCTCTTGGACCATGAATGGGGGCCGCTGCAGGGGTCAGTGGCACATGAGGGAGCCCCTGGGGCAGCCAGCCAAGGCGGGATTCGAAAGCACACTGCAGAGCCAGCCCCTTCCTCGACGCGGCTGGGCCCGGGCCCTCTGCAGTGGTATGGAGGTGCAGAGCCTGGGGTCAGCGGGCGAGTTCAACCAGAGCAGCAGCTCCATGCCGGCCCCCAGCTGTTGGAGGACGTCTGTGTCTAAACCTGAGCTATTTTTTCCTGGAGGTGTCTGCAGCCCCAGCGCCCTTTTGCTCACTCTGGGCTCCAGGTGCACGGACGAGCGGAGCAAGTCCCCGCGTGCTGTGCTTGTCACCTGGGCTTTGAGCGGGTCACTTCGTGTGGAAAAACCACCTGTAGCTCTTGTCCACGCTCGGGCCTGGGGCCTCCCTGGCTCCACCTGCACTGGGCGGGTTCTGTGACTGTGAGGGCACCAGTTCAGGCCTGTGCACAGTGGCCACTTCCGGCACTGGCACTCCCAGCCTGCAGCAGACTCAAGGCGGGCGACCACATCCAAGGCCACGCAGGCACTGATGCTGGGGCTGTGGCCAAGGGCCCTCCAGCCGACAGCCCTCACTCTGCCCCTACTCCTTGTAGCTGGAGTTTGTGCAGGGCCAGAATCAGCCCAGGCTGCACCCCAAGATTCACTCTGCCTGCAAGTGACAGACACCCCTGGGGTGGGAGTTCAGGCAACAGGAGGGACCTTGGGAGGCCTGGGGACAGGGACAGGGACAGGGCCAGGACCTAGGCTGCATGCTCCCTGACCTCTGACCTCATGACCCACCCTCACCTGTCTAGGAAGAAGCAAACACGAAACAGGGTCCCGTAGTTACTTCCCGGGGCGGGGGCTGCAGTCTACGCCCTGGATGTCCCTTGTCCAGCCTGACCTCCCCACGTCCTCCCCCAGGCCCTGTAAGCCCGGCCCCCCCGCAGGGACCCTGTGATACAGCACAAAGTCCCTGATCACCCTCGGAGCTGGCCAGCTGACCCTTGAGGGTGGTCAGGATGCTCTGGAGTTTGGGGGAATGACCAAGTTCAGGCTTGAGGTTGCCAGGTGAGCACACAGGTGAGCACACAGGTCTCACTTGTCTACCTAACTCCATGTGTGTGTGTGGGGGGGGGGTGAAAGGTGTTGCTGAGCAAATGAATGAATGAATGACCAGGGACAGAGGCTACTCCTGCAGGGCCAGCTGGGCTTCCCCAGGCCAGTACAGAGGGCCAGGGAGGCAAGCATGTTGCCTGTGTGCAGCCTCTGGATGAGGTGACGGGGTTGGCTAGGGGGCTGGAGGGCCCTGGGAAGGCGCCTGTGGGGTCAGGACTGGCCAAACCCCACGCCGACCCTGTGGTAGGAGCCCCCAGCCCCTCTCCCAGGACGGCACTCACAAGGCTCCCCTTCCCACCCAGGGCCGCCACCCTTGGACACACTTCTCCCCCACACTCCTCCCGGCACTGGGGTCTGACTTCATCTAAGACTCCAGGCTCTCCCGCAGGCCAAGCTCCAGGGCCCTCCTGAGTGTGTCCTCTCCCTGCGGGAATTGCACACCTGCTCTGTCCCCCACCTCCAACCCCCGCATCTGTGGATCCCCTGAGCGGTGGCTGCACCCTGCAGGAAGGGAGCCAGGCCCCCTACTTGCCTACATCCACTGGCTCCTACCCCCGTCTGGCCCAGTGCCCAGGCCTCTCCGAGCTGGCTGCCTTCCATGTCCACTCAGTGCCTGGGGCTGTCACGTCGGTTTCCGCACTGTGCCTGCCCTTTGCGCTCCTCTCTCAGGCCAGTCGCCTGTGCGGCGGTGTGCAGCGCCCTCCTGTGGCTGACAGCGGAGGCGCACGCCAGGCTTCAGCCCATTTTGCGGGTCTGGGCCCCGCTGGGCTCTGCAGGAATTAAAGCTGTAACTGCTCACCTGCCAGCCAGAACAGCCTTGCAAGGAGGCCCCGGGGTGGGAGGGCAGGGCTCGGGCAGAGGCATGGACATAGCGACAGCAAGGGGTTCGCCAGGGCGAGGCAGAAGCAGCGCCTGCAGAGTGAGGGGCGAGAGGACTGGCAGCCTGGCCGGGGGCTGGGAAGGGGTCTGGCTGCCAGCTCTGGGGACAGCCAGAAATCTGCCTTAGCACGTGGCAGGTGCTGAGAGGGGAGCCCTCCCCCCACCACCCACACACAGAGCCCCAAGCCTGCTCTGACCTGATTGTTCAGACAGACTTATTTACTCTGAAAGACACAGTTACATAGAGCGAGACGGAGGTCGTCCACCACCGGTTCCCCCCAGACGGCCACACCAGCCTGGGCTGTGCCAGGCAGAAGCAGCCGCTGCACCCGCGTCCCCCACGTGAGTGGCAGAGGCCCACCTCCTGCTGCTTCCCCACATGCAGGAGCAGGGAGCCGGATCCGAAAGGGAGCAGCCGGGATTCCAGCTGGCACTTGGATATGGGGTGCCAGTGCTGTGGGCGGCACTCGTTTCTGTAGACACACGCAGTCTCCCCCAAAGCCAGGAGCCCCGAAGTCCACCATGGTCTCTCAGGATCCAGGCCGGGGGCCGGGCCCACATGGCAGTCACTCCGCAGAGGCTGAGCTCAGAGGTGGGTGGAGGCTGCCCAGTAGGAACCGGGCAGCACTGGTTTGGACGGGGTACTGAGACCCATCACAGTGCGGTGACGTCAGCAAGGCTCACGGGAAGCTGCTGGGGCTGGCAGTGGGGGGCCCTGCGTGCAGCGTCCAAGGCCGGGAGACGGCAGTTCTAGGCCCGCGTGCTTGGGGAGAGGAGGCTAACAGCACTGCTCCCTAACCAGGCCCGAGGCGCCCCAGGCCAGAGTTCCAGCTTCCTGCTGCGCCCACGTGCGTGAGCAGCTGTTGGAATTCCAGGCTTGCCTGTTGTGGACATTTGGGGCGGGAACCAGCGGGGGAAGGTCTTTCTCCATAAAATTCATTTATTTAAAGGGGGAGGGCAGGGAAGCGGTACCCAGCAGGGACTGGGAAGGCTGAGCAGGTCTGGGTTTGGGATTAGCTTCCCGACGCGGGCAGTTCCCTCGCCCTCTCTATGGCAACAATGCTCCCAGTTCCTCAGAGGTGGCCTGGAGGAGCGAATGGAAAGCCACGTCCACGGGGCTGGGCACTGCTGGACTTGAGGCAGACACGGGGCGGCTACGGAGAGCTGTCCCCAGATTGTCTTCACTGCAGCTGCCACCCTGGGGGAGAGCGCACTCGGCAGTTCTCGGAGGGGGCGCCATGTGCACGGCACAGGAGGCACATCTGGCTGCAGCCATCGGCCAGCAGGGCCCCGGCCCCAAGGACAAGGGATCCCCAGTCACTGTCGCTGGTCAAGTCCCAAGCAGTTCCGGGAGTCCCAGGACCCTACGGGAGTCCACCCCTGTCAGGAACAGGGGGCTGCAGGTGGCTGTGCCTTTGGGACTGTAGAGAGGTTACGGGAGACGCATGCTTGCTGGGTGCAGAATCGTGTGTGAGGGGAACAGCTCGGGTACCCCAGGCAGGCGGCAGCGCCACGTTTCCTGTGTGCCAGGACTGGGCAAAAGCAGCGGCTTAGAGGGGGAACAGACGAGAGCCAAAGGCATGACAAAGCTTCACATTATGCGTTTATTATATTTTATAGAGCCGTGTTACACATGCTTGGTGCTTCAAACTGAGTAATCAATGTGTTTCTGGATGCAAAGCCATCTGATGCTTGATGCGGATGCCTTAAATACTATAATATTTCTGCATCTATGACCTATGAGCTAAGGAAAAAACCAAGGACAATTCCAGAAATGGCAAAGAACACTTTAAGAAAAAGATGTACATGAGACGCAATGCAGTCCTTGAGGCAGGGCCTGTGAGGTGACCGAGGACCAGTAAGAACATTCTCCCTGCCAACCAGAGGGAAGCCTCAGCAGGTATGGGTGCTGTGGGAAAGCTCAGGCCACGTGGTGCCCGAAGCCCTTCTCCCTGCCACAGCACAGGCAGCGACCACGCACGCACCCCTGGGGAGCAGCCAACAGCACACAGCCGCGCCACCCCATGCTGTTCCTCACGGCCTCGGGTGTCCACTGAGAAGCCACTGACCAATCTCACGCACTCTGCTGGAGATCAACAGGAAGTCCCTGCTCCACCCGCTGCAGCCCCCGAATGCCGGCTGGCAACGGGGCCCGGGGCGCCCAGCTCACACCTTCCTGTACCCAGTCTGTAGCTTTGATTTGCCTGCGGATCCAACCGATGCCGAAGTTCTATCTCAACGTTCCCCTCCAGGGTCATACAGCCCCACAGCGAAGACCCTCTCCCCACCAGCACACTGGAATGCCACCCGAGTGGGAACAAGACAAGTCAGGGTCAGCAAGGAGGGCGAGACCTCACGGCAGCCCGTGGTGCCCCGGAGGCCTGCACGACCTTCACCCAGGGACAGCTCGGGGCTCGGACTTCCTCTCCCATCCCCTGGGTTAAGAGCTTGAGGGGAACGGGCTCTGAGAAGGCGCAATCGCAGCGACGCCAATGACAGCTGGAACGAAGAGCCACAAAGTCAGACAGGTGCCCCTGAAGGCTGGGCTCCAAAGCAATCCACTGACAGCAAGAAGGCGGCCTCGGCAGGCCGGCAGGAAAAGGCTCCCGGCACGGCCGCGGCATCACACGGGGGCCTGCAGCAACCTCAGCTCTTGCCACAGTTGTGACCTGCTGCTGGGCGTGCACCCTAGGGGTCAGATGTCAGGGGAAAAAAAAAGGCCTAAGAGCTTAGGGAACTCAGGATCGACACCACAGACCCCTAAACCATGCCAAGTCTAGGTCACAGAGGCAGAGGCACAGAAGTGATCAATTCTCTCTGCCTGTTTTTGTCGGGGGAGCTGCCAGGGATGGAATTATCGGGTTTCCCATTCAAAATCTTACTTTGGAAGCCAGGTCTTCCTGCACCCTCGACTGAAACTCCAGTTTGAGCCCCATCTGAGACGGGCTTTGCTAAGCAGCAGGGTGGCGATGCTGGTGGCGGGGCCCGGCTCTCGCCAGCCCTCGCCAGCCCTCGCCACCACGGCAAACCTCTGCTTCTGCGGTGGGGCCTACAGCTCTGCTCGCAGACACAGGCAGGCACTGCGCACACTACTCCCTTCAACGGCCTTCAATAGAGCGAAGCAAGTAACTAAAGAACTAGCACATGAAAACCAAACAGGAAAAACATCTTGATTTTCCTCAAATCCTCGGGCCTTGGATCTAGCAAAGCACACAAACACCGCGTGAAACTCGTCACCTGGGAAAATAAATGTCACTTGGGTGACAGTTCTTTATACAAATATTATGCTCCCTCCCCCAACCCACCACCAAAACGGGGGAAAATAATAACTTTAAAAATAGAAAACAACATCTTAAGTGTAAACTCTGGGGTCTTTATATATTACATATGCTAAAAACATGCATTTATTTATGCTCCAATGTAAGAAAATATGTCTATCAGTAGTACTTATAAATCAGATTAATCATCAAGACAATGGACTCACTGTTAGAACACCGTTTCAAATTTTAGTAAATTATATCTTTAGCAAAATTATGAGTTCTAACCACAAGCAAAATGGGCTTGAGTGCAACCCAATGAGAACTACCTCTACCCCTCACATGGTGGCTCATCCATCAGTTTCCTGCACTATTGCTGAGTCCAGAGTGCTGCGTCACAGGGAACTTGTCCTCCAAGTCTCCTCTGAACCCCAAGCTCAACTCCTTATAGCAGGTAGCTCTGCAGACTGAGGGAACACAGGTGCACAGAGAAAGGCAAAGGGACTGCTGACTGTCACTCAGAGACGGACGGGGACAGAAGAGATGACCGAGGGCATCCCCCAGGGATCAAGGCACAGAGGAAGAGGGACCTCGTTCCACACAGGAGCTGAGCTCAGCTCCTGCAGGTCACGGCATGGCTCCCGGGGCCCACGGTGGAGGGCCTGTGGGCAGGGGTCCTGAGGGCAGTGCCAGGGCCAGGCTCCAGTGTGGCACAACACTGGATGAGGGTGAGGTGGCTGGACTTCCAACGCATCCACTGATGGGAGTGGCTTTTAGCAGCGCCACCCTGAGACCGCTAAGCCTGCCAGTGGGGAGGGAGGCCTCTGCCCAGAGACAGTCCAAGAGTCACATACTGGCACGGGGGCACTCAGCTTCAAAGGCGACCTCTGCCATGGGCTTACCTCTTTCCTGACTGCCAGATACAGCAAAGCCCTGCTCATGCTGACAACAGCTGGGATCTTCTGATATAACTCAGTTCCATCAAACTACTCAGTGGATAACAAATTCTGGGTGAATAAAAAAATGTCGAAGTTAAAATTTTCACTTATGAGTCAGAAGGCACTTCAAAATTGCAGAGCCACAGGGCCACTGTGAGCAGGCCAGGAGCCCCTCCACAGGACCGATGGAGAAGCCAGGAGACTGGGCCACAGGTCTGACCTGACAGTGTCCTGGCCATTTGGTTAAATGGATCTCTGATATTCGCTGGTCTGTCACCGACCTCGCGGAGCCCAGCACACAGCACAGAACGACACACAGTGCGTCTGCATTCTGAATAAAGGGGATTTTGCTGTATCATGGCAGCCGATCAAACATCCTCAGTGAGTCTGCTATCTGACTCTAGGGAAAGCTCAGAAACTCGAGTCACACACTGAAGAGGTCACGAGGTGAGAGGCCCAGGACGCATCGAGCACGCCTCTCTAGTCACCTGACCACCTCGCCCACCCACACTCAGGGCCTGCAGAGCAGCGTGGAGTTCGGCCACACTGACCAGCACGGGCTCGGGACTGTCTGCATGGAGGATCACAGGCTCTCCAACCAGACACTGCCAACTGGAAGCCTGAGGCAGCCTGCGCGGTGGAGGGGCCGGGCCTCCCCTCGGCGCCCCCACTGCCGGCGGGCACCTCACCTGGACCAGGCGCTCTGGCCACAGCACAAACGCTGCAGGCACACACCTGCCGGGGAGCCGCAACCCAAGCCTATCACCCACGGCCCGGTCTGCGGTACTCTGAGGTAGTTCCTTAACTCAGGATGCCTGTTACCTACTCTCTCAGAATTCGGGACATGTGGGAAATAGCAAAACACCCATGCATCGCTTTCATCACAAGTCACTGTGAGTGAGTGCAAAACAAAGGAAACTTGAGTTGCTTTATTTAGCTTCCAATTTCTGGGAGGCTCAAGAGTTTTAAGTATCCTGGACAACAAAAGAAAATAAGACTGTGCTTACAGACCTTTTTCTGCCATGTTCCTTCTTCAGGACTGCTACTTTATTGTTGCCCTTTCTGTTACATGGGTGTACACATCAGGTGTTAAAAGGGACAATGCATTCTACAGCTGAGCACCACTTTCTGTAACCGAACAGGCAAAGAATCACACTGAACATCAGCATCTGGCAGTATTTTTTGGAAAAAAAAAAGTGACTAAAATGGGTTTAAATTGATTAACACTATTAAATCACATCTAATATTTGATACTACATGATTCAATACAGCTATACGATACAATTATACAAAATGTGTTAACATCAAAGAATACAACCAAAATTAAGATAGCAAACAAAACCTATATAACTTTTTTTTACAGGAAAATACTTTTGAAGTATGCATGTAACTGCCCATTCTTTTAAAGAAAATCTACTGCAAGCAAAGTTATCAACCTCCAGAAAAATCACACATAGCATTACTAAGCATATCCCCAAAAAGTGTACAATATGCACACTTGGAAAATACAAAATTAAAAAAATTGTAAGCAACAGGTGAGCTTCATATTTATAAGAATGTGAAAAGAAGTCCCATTTTTAGCACTGTTGTATAAAGAATTGTCTTTTGATGCGAAGTTCATGAGTTGTCCTCCTGTTGGGACCACACTTTACAAAAACACCGTGTTTTTGAAACGAGATTACAGAGCAAGATAGAGCATCTTAGCAATGTCATCTTTTTAAAGTTTTTCTGAATTTTTTACTACTTTATCAAAACATGTCCCTTAGGTGTGTAGGATTCATTTTTAAAATTCTTCCTAGAAACAATATACAAAGGAGAGGCGTGTTTATTCCCAACCATACTCCTGGGAGAAGCTTCCTGAGGCCCAGGGGGCTTCTCTCTTCTCACTGGTTGTTTTTGGCCTTGGCATGTGTTAGGATGTGAGATTTCAGGTTAGTTGACTGAGCAAACTTCTTATTACAACCGTCGAAGGGGCACACATAGGGCCTGTCTCCGGTGTGGATGCGCACGTGTGTACGCAAATTGAAGTCCAGTGAAAAGCGTTTCCCGCAGCCTTCGAATGTGCACTGTCGAGGAGAGACCAGAGGTCAACCACGAGACAACTGACCAGACCCCCAGGGGTCAGTGTCTCTCTGCTTCGGGAAGAACAGCTCTTTGTTTTAGCCAATGCCTTCCCTCTCTGCCCTGGGTGAACTTTCTAGATACTTCTAAGTAGTGGGCAGGGATCTCTAGGCCTGCATGCTGGACAACCCCTAACACCCACCCCCACCCCCCATGTTCTAAACCCAGCGTAAGAGAAACACTTGGTAGAATGGCAAGAACCTGGAGCCTCAGTGCTTCTACCAGCTGAAAGGCAGACGGTCACGGAAGTTCGGGGTATCAGTTACCAAACGGCCCATGCCAGATTTACTCGCTGCACCGCTGGCCGGCCACTCTCTCAGCGGTGACCTAGACCCACCACAAACAGCGGCATCTTAGAAGTTCCCCGTCAGTCAGTCGTTGGAGCCACCAGCCAATTCTGCTTTTTACTCTGCTGCGCTCCAGCCCAGGCGACCCTCCCAAGGGACTCACCAGAGACCACTCTCCTTCCTCACTAGGAGCAACAGTGAGACCCCGGGCGTGTGGGTGTGGCCCCTGCATGCTCCCCACAGGGCCCAGACCCGCACGGCAGTGTCAGAGGCAGAAGGAGCCGGCTCTACCTGAAAGGGCTTCTCTCCAGTATGAACCAGTTGGTGTCGTTTTAGTTTGGAGCTCTCCACGAAAGCTTTGCCACACTCTGCACAGACGTGGACTCGGGGGCCGTGGGTGTGCAGATGCTTTCTCATGGCAGAGTTATCCCTGAACATCTTTGTGCAGCCCTTAAAACAGAGAGAGCAGCTTAGAGGGTCACACTGCACACCGCCAGGACGACGCAGCCCAACAGCCTTTCTGACCAGACTCGGCAAAGCCACCCCCGCCTGTGCTCTACTTAGCGTTCCCGCAGGACGTTACTTTAGACAACAGACAGCTGGGAAAGGCCTTATCATCTAATGCAAACCCTTGTTTTACAGATGAGGAAACTGAGGCTTAGAGATGTCATGAAGTAGACTTGCCCAGGGTCACACTACGAGAGGCAGCCGGGCTGGGAGTGGAACCCCGCATCCTGGCTTCCAGCTCCCCCACGGCCGCCTCACCCTGCTCCGCCAAGATGAAGTAACGGAAGCACCGAGATAAATGGAGTTAAATGACGGCAGTCCACCACTACCTTGGGTGGGCCCCATAGTCTGTGCCGCGACAATGGGCTGTCATTCTCCATCGCCTACTGTTCCCTCTTCTCTCTGCCTCTTTCCCCTCTTGACAGAGAAAGAAGCAAGAGGGCCTCCAAGGAATGGCAGCTACAGAAGAAATTGATTTTGTGAGACACGAGGCAAAGGAAGAGGCAGGCAAACGGACGCCAGAGCGGGCAAGGCGGTGGGCGGCGGTGCTCGGGGAAGCAGGCTCGGACGATTTCTCTGCAGTCGCTGCCCAGCAGTGGAGCGGATGGCAGAAACGTGAGGCAGTACGACAGAGGGGGAGCACAGGCCACCACCCGACAGCTTCCCAGGCAACAGGGAGGGAAAGCCACAGCACCGGCACCTTGACTTCTAAGCCGAGTTTCCGTTTTGAAAATGGAATTTTAAACAATGCAATTGGAAAAGGAGTACACAGAGAAGCCAGAGAAATGGCAGGCAGTTAGGGCCCAACTGTTTTCAAATGCTTATCTTTCTCCAATTGTTGATTTGAAAAAATTCTTTACTCCATTCCTAACTCCCCTCCCTCTGTTTCTCTGAGGCTATGAGATAAAGCAGATCCCCAACCAGCACCTCTTCAGGTTTTTCTTTCATTTCAAGACTACATTTGAAAACAATTAGGTGCCCTTCTAGAAGCAACACACAATTAACAGGGTAATAAGAAAACCGTGAAGGAAATGATCAAGTCTTTACTTGAGTTATTTAGCAACATCCAAAATCATTTACAAACTTCAACCACAGCCTGGGTTCCCATAATGGTCCCTGGGTTAGATGCGACCACTGTCTTCAGATTAAGACTGACTTGCTAAGGAGCCAGAAGAAGGCAGGCCCTGACCAGTGCAGTCAGCAGCAGTAATAATGTGGACATCGCTCCCGACACGGTACCATTCCAGTACGGAAACACAGACTTCCCCAAACGACAAAGCGAAGTCTTTTGAATTTAAAAACCAGACATTCTAGTTCCTCACTTAATCTATGACAGCGTAAATAGAAAGTGTCAGTGGCTTAGACGCTCTCTGTCACCTCATTACCGGTGGGTGGGCACCTCCCCCTAGCATTACTTACTTTATGAGGGCAAGCTATTGTTCTTGGAGCATCATCTTCTTTAATTTTTCTTGGCTTCATTCTTATCAAAACAAAAAACAAACAAAAAAAAAAGAGAGAGAGAGAGAGAGACAGGTTTGTAGGAGTGGGTACACTCAACTGGCATCAATCATATATAGTCCCTGCACGTTTTCCTGCCAGGTACCCAAACCAAGCCGACGGCGTGCTCCCAGGAAGGAGACGGGATGAGAACTCACTCGCTGAGTGCCGACCCTGGGAAGAGTGCTTCCCATTTTAGACAAGGATGCTGATGCTGAGAAAGGCTGAGCCGCTGCCATGGTCCCTCAGAGCGAGTGGGCTGTTGCGGCTCGAAATGCACTGGGTCTATGTGCTTCAAACACCTGCTCGTCACGCTAAACCCTTCCGACATACAGAAGACCCACAGCTGAGACAACCACAGACCAACCTCCTGGTGGGAGGCAGGGCGTGGGACCCCACAGCAGCAGCTGCTGTGCCATCACCCGGGCCTGACAAAAAGGGCGTGTCTGGGATGTGTAGACTGCTCTCCACCTGCCGCCCCTTGGTGGCTCAGACACCAGCAAAGCCACGAGCTGCTTGATACATGCACATAAAACCTCTCTCGAAGGAAACACTGGGCACTTCAGGGAGGTGCCCACAGGGACAGGTGGGACACACACACACACATTCCTGCCTTCTGTGTAGCTTCTCTCCGTGGAGATGTGAGGGACGGTGCAGATTTCCAAACGCTACGAGCATTTATTTTATACAACAGAGGTCTCTGGCCTGCCTCAGGACGGGGGCTTGGGAAGTTCCCCCATGTGACAAGAGACCTGGTGAGGCGGCTGTTCCGGGAGGCCTGGGTGAGGCCGTGTGCGACAGCGCGCTGAGCTGCTAGCTTACCTACCTGCTCTTTCCACCAAATCAACGGCTGGTCTTTTGACAAAGCTTTTTTTGCACGCATTCCCTACAGATCTGTGTGTGGTAGAGGGGTGCAGGATAACTAGAAAAGCTTTCAGTTTGTGACAGATTTTTCTTCCTGTCCCTAATTCTGCCATCTCACATCTCTCTACAGGGCTCATGTTTAATAAATACACTAAGTCGATGGTTCCCTAATGACTGCAGCTGATTTACCCTTTTATTACACAAGAACGTTTCTGCCACCTTTGAGCTGACCAAACCCTAACAAGACCCTTCTTCACAGCTGATCTGTGAAAGGCTTCCTGGTTCTCGTACTTCACAGAATCTGAGTTCATGAGGTCCCCTGGTTCAACTGTCCACGCCTGGGGGAGCCTGAGCAGCAATGAGTGTGGCAGCCACCACCACTCCAGGGAGCTTGACCAAGCTCTTTTCTGCTATAAATTTTACAAGACATTTTCAGTCGGGTACCCCCCAACCCCAACCCTGTGGACACTCCTTCTCTCCTCTAAGTTGATCACCATATCAGTTGGCAAAATTTCTTAAGGGCCTGTGTGTACAAGGCTCTGGACTGGCCTTTGTCATCTTAAACAGCAACAGATCCTGGAGTCTTGGCCTGAGTCCACAAAACTAGGCAGGGCACAAATTCAGCGCCACTGCGCCACCTGCAGGGATCACTTTGAAAAACAGATTCACAAATACTTTTCATTCTACCTAAATATCAATAACCTAAAAATAAGAACCAAGTTTCCAGTTTTCCCATTTAAGAATGTGGATTCTCATCCCAGGGGCAGGCAGTGTGGAGCAGCAGGTTAAGCAGCCATGTCCCATATCTGAGTACCTCAGATTAAGTCCTGTCTTTGCTTACAATCCAGCTTCCTGCTAATGCACACCTGGGGAGGTGGCAGATGATGGCAAGTCCTTGAGCCCCTGCCACCCACATGGGAGTTCAGGGCTCATGAACTTCAGCCTGGCCCAGCCCTAGATGTTGTGGGCATATGGGGAGTGAACCAGCGCAGAGAACATCTCTCCTGTGTCAATCTGCCTTTCAAATAAATAAAGACAACATTCTCTGATGGTTCTATGGAAACATTCTCTGTTGACTGTGCAGATGGCTACATGTGACTGTGTTTGCCTAAATTCATTAAGAGTGCACACCTCAAAGAGGGTGAAATCTATGGTGCAGATTACTTGATAAACCTGATTTAAAGATGCCCCTGCATATCTTTTCTCAGAATTAGTCCTAGAACTTAGTTTCAAGAGGTTTGCTTGCTTGTTTGCTTATTTATTTATTTCTACTTGAAAGTCAGCACTAGAGGAAAAGGAAGGAGAGCTGGAGAGAGCTCGATCTATCTTCCACCGCCGATTCACTCCCAAATGCCTGCAGGAGCAAGGAACCCCATCAGGTCTCCCATGCAGGGGCCCAAGCCCTTGAGCCATCACCTGCTGCTCCCAGGAGCCTCTGTCAGGAAACTGGGTGGGAAGCGGAGGAGCTGGGACCCAAACATCCTCTGCTATAGGTTGCAGGCATCCCAAGTAGTCGCCTAATGTGCAACACCTGCCTCAGAACTTATATATTTTTAAAGATCTATTTATTTCAAAGGCAGAACGACAGAGAGGGAGGCATCTTCCAAACTCTTTCAACAGCCAGGGCTAGGCCAGGAGCCTGGAACTCTCTCCGTGTCTTCCACATGGGTGGCAAGGACCCAAGTATTGGGGTCACCATCTGCCATCTTCCCAGGCACATCAGCAGAGAGCTGTATCAGAAGCAGAGGAGCTAGGACCCTATCTAGTGCCCTCATTTAGGATTCGGGCACCCCAAGTGGCTGCCAGCCTGCTGCACCACAACATTCACCTCTCAGAACTTTACTTTTTTTTTTTTTGGACAGGCAGAGTGGACAGTGAGTGAGAGAGAGAGAGAAAGGTCTTCCTTTGCTGTTGGTTCACCCTCCAATGGCCGCCGCGGCCGGCACGCCGTGCTGATCCAATGGCAGGAGCCAGGTGCTTCTCCTGGTCTCCCATGGGGTGCAGGGCCCAAGCACTTGGGCCATCCTCCACTGCACTCCCAGGCCACAGCAGAGAGATGGCCTGGAAGAGGGACAACCGGGACAGAATCTGGTGCCCCGACCAGGACTAGAACCCAGTGTGCCGGTGCCGCAAGACGGAGGATTAGCCTAGTGAGCCGCGGCGCCGGCCAGAACTTTACTCTTTAAGACATTTTATCATGGAAAATTTTAAGTACACTCGAAACAAAGAACAGTACCATTTACCAGACTCTTGATTATTTTTCATTATTGTGATAATTTTTCCTAAAGTCATTTTCAAAATGTGTGCTAGTATTTTAGTTTAAAACGCATTTGGACAGACACCTTTGGACTTGGGGAATAGCGAAGAAGCTATGGCGGCTGCCTGTACGTAAGCCCCTGCAAGTCGTCCTCACTACAGGGCAACAGATCTGGCACCTGTGTCGGTGTTGCTTACTTTCTGCTTGGCTGCACACACAGAAAGGGTATTTTTCTAAAAAAGTATACTCACACTGGAAGTTCTGTGCAGACCAAAATCAGATGCTACCACTCAGTACATCTCAACCCTCCCAAACTGTCACCTGTGTTCTTAAGGCAGAGACAGCGAGGACACCAGTACAGCCACTCTCAACAAGACGAGGCATGTGACCCGGGGCTGACTTCTATCAGCCGTAGACCTTGAGCAAACCACCCAACTTCTCAGGCTCGGTTTCTGACTCTGTAGAAGGGTGTAAAAAGCCTCCACTTTAGAGCTGTTGGGATTAGAGGAGCCCTGGGACGTGGCAGCCATCACCACCACGGGCTGTGTGTTACATGGGCCTAATTAAGAACAAGGTCAGTCTTTTTTTTTTTTTTTTTAATTTTTTTGACAGGCAGAGTGGACAGTGAGAGAGAGAGACAGAGAGAAAGGTCTTCCTTTGCCATTGGTTCATCCTCCAATGGCCGCCGCAGCCGGCGCACTGCGCTGATCTGAAGCCAGGAGCCAGGTGCTTCTCCTGGTCTCCCATGGGGTGCAGGGCCCAAGCACTTGGGCCATCCTCCACTGCACTCCCGGGCCACAGCAGAGAGCTGGCCTGGAAGAGGGGCAACCGGGACAGAATCCGGCGCCCCGACCAGGACTAGAACCTGGGGTGCCAGCGTCGCAAGGCGGAGGATTAGCCTAGTGAGCCACGGTGCCGGCCACAAGTTCAGTCTTAACAAAAATATTTTGCCAGCTGTTAGAAGGTTCTGATGTCCCAGACCACCCTTCTAGCTAGAGGACTGAGAGATGGAGAATGGTTACAGCAGAAGGCTTTCCTCACTTTATTACAGTCCATGCAGGAGCCAGGCCCCTGACCAGACATTTCCTTCCTGCTTCAATAAAAATGGAAGCCTCCACTCCCTATGACCAACTGCTCTTTGTGACACCTCGTAAAGGCACGTGCAGAAGGGACAACGCTGTGAAGATGGGATCCCCACAACTCGAACCTGCAGCAGCTTCCTGGCCCAACTTCAGCAGAACATTGAACAAACCAAAAGTCCCAACTGACAGACCTGCAAACGTCCCAGAAGCAGAGACAAAATAATTGGAGCAGTGATTCTTTAATACAAAATTAAAGCCCTTCCCTGCCAAACAGGCTTAGTTAACTTTTAGGCCAGCGTGACTGTCCCATGCTTGTGGGGACGAAGGCCTCGCCAGACACAGCTACCCCCTGCAAGCACGATTCAGCTCCCTTCTTGTGCAGACAGCGATGCCTCAGACAAAACAAAGTGGGTTCAACGAACACGTCCTAAATGACACAGGATACACTCCTGTGGTACTACTGCAGAGGGTTTTAAAAAAATGTTGACTTTACTTTCACCTACTTGAAAACCACGGCAACAGAGAGGGTGGGAAAGATCTTCCATAACACCCACAACAGCCAGGGCAGGGCAGGTGGAGGCCAGGACCCAGAACTCTCCAGGTTTCTCACAGGGTGGCAGGGCCCCGAGCAATTGGGTCATAATCTGCTGCCTGCCAGGATGCATTAGCAGGAAGTCTGACGAGAAATGGAGGAGATGAAGTCAGACTGGGTACTGTGACAGGGAAGGCAGGCGTCCTGAATGGCAACCTGAGCCACTGCTCCAAAATGCCCACCCCGTC